GATAAAAAATTAAATAAAAATAAATATAAAAAAGTTTATAAAAAATTAAATATTTTAAAAAATTGAAAAAATAAAAATAAAAAACATTTTCGGCCTGACATTTTTTTTTATTTCGTTTTCGTTTCGTTTTCAAAATTTCCATTTCGGTGCACCTCTACTTTAAAGCATGGAAGGAAACCCACGCAAGCACAGGGAGAACATGCCAACTCCATGCAGATAATATCCTAGCTTGGAATTCAAACTAGAGGCCCCAGTGCTGTGCCCCCCAATGTACAACAACTTGTGGTGGGCGGTATGTGAAGCCTTTCTTGAAGAACACTGGGCACCACTGCTAGCCAACACATCTCAGACTGCCTGATAGCGTGTTTCCTGTTGGCATTGGGGTTTCTCCCACCAGCTGTTACGTGGCTACATGGTTGCTTAAAAAAATGCAAGCTTTCAGAGCTTTCTGGTCCGTCACTAGGCCTAGCGCTCTGAAAAATTGCATTTGAGGATTCTTTTCAGTCACCTACTGAAAGTTACTTATTTTGAATACATTATATTTAATTTAAAAAAAGTAGGTCCAGGCACCTCTACAGGACATGCGAGGGAGCTGTAAGCAATGCACGTATGGATGGAGCTCCCTCACGGCCATAGTCCCAGCCCACCCCACCTCAAGCTGACATTCAGCACGGGGCAGTATATTTTGAAAGCTGCTTGGTGCAAGAACTGACAGTGTTGCGCTAGGAAGAGGCTGAGGAGCCTCTTACCTGGAAAAGTGGAAGGCACGCAGTGACCCACCGAACACGGGGTTGCGACCCACCAGTTGAGAACCAAGGCTTTAGAGCATGCTGATTGCCAAAATAAGTCTCCTGCAGAAGAAGCCAAACCGCTCCTCTCTGATTCCACGGCAGCTGGTCAGATGAGCAGAACCCTAAGAGTCTGGTCACCTGATCTTTGAAGAACGGGAAGAGAATGTAATTGGCTGACCCTCCCCTTCAAATGAGAAGCGTCCATGTTTCTGGCATTTTCTGCTTCCTGCCACCATTGAGGAGTTCATAGGAAGAAGGCAGGCAGGGGAGCAGGGGGTGCTGTCCACTTATTAACAGGTCTTGGACAGATGTTTTCCTTGTATATCTATATGGAAGTCTTTTACCGCTATTGAGGTCCATCTGCAGGTAAATGTGAAGTCTGCATCGACATCCTGGTAACATTTAGCGCTGGTGAGGCCGTCGATCTGTTTAAAGATATGACATCATGAAGGAAGCCTCGTGTTTTATTTTTGCTGTTTATTGCATTATCTGGTTCCGGTGGAGTGTTCGCTCTTTGATTGATGATTAATCCCAATAAAGACACCGCGATGTAAAAATGGCACCCGATGATTTTGCTCCACGTGTTTTTCCGGGCAGAGAGACTGCACATCGGATTTTACGATGCAGTAAGGTCATTGCAGACACTTGGCCGAAGATGAAAGTGCCTTACGGCAATAATTTTCCAACCGCATTACAAAACAAAATGTTGGAATGTAAGCGTTCCCTCCTATAAATTAAGAAGTCCTAGCTTTCTGTCATTGTCTTTCCTGCCCTGCTAATACTTTCCTTATACCTGGACATCAAGAGGATCGATTCCCGGGCAGGTTTCTGGGGACCCCCACAGATCCGGGCTGGTGGCATGGACCCCCTAACAATTTTATCTTCCTGTCAAGGGAACATTTCAGTTTGGGTACTTGTGTACTTTTAAAGGTTTGACTTTAACTTGGCTAAATATATTCCAGGTGTATCAAATCAAAAGCAGTCACAGGCTAAGTGGAAAAGCCTGGCCCCTGCCAGCATGCAGCAGAGACGGACCCTTGCTCTAAGGATGGAAGCAGTGGCCTCTCTGCAGAGGTCTGGCAAACCCCCTACTGAGTCAGACCTATGACTCTACATTTAGCAGGGATTTCCCTCCCTGCTGATTAAACAGCTCTAGCTCTGACTCAGCATGGGGCATACTGGAATCTCTTCAGAGGACCACTGCTTCCACATAGAGAGCAGCCGCCCTTCTCTGCAGCAAGCTGGCAGGGGACAGGCTTTTCTACTCAGGCTGTGGCTGCTTTCTCA